ATATAGATATAAAAATCCTCAACAAAATACTAGCAAACTGAATCCAGCAGCATATCGAGAGAATTATACACTGCAACCACGTAGAACTTATCAACCAGTGTAATACATGACGTTAACAGAATGACGGAAAAGCTCATACCATCACCTCAATCGATAGAGGAAAAGCATCTGACAGAAGTCCAGTGCCTTCTCGTGATAAAAGCACTCACTAAAGCAGGAACAGAAGGAACCTCTGCAACATGGTAAAAGCCATACACACGAACACCAGCCAACACCAAACCCAATGGAGAAAGACTGAGAGCTCTTCCCCACGACCAGGAACAGGACAAGGGTGCCAGCTCTTACCACTGTACGATCAGAAACCTCCGCCAGAGCAATTAGGCAATAAAAAGAAAAAAGACATGTAAAGTAGAAAGGATGCCTTTCTAAAGACTATAACTAGAAAACCATAAAAAATGCACCCCACAAACTGTTAGAGCTATCAATGACTTCAGCAAAGATTCAGGGCACAAAATCAACACATGAAAATCAGTAGCATTTCAATACACTGCCAATGAACCACCTGAAAAGGAAATGATGAAAACGATTCCATGTACGATAGCATCAAAAAGAGTGAAACACTTACGAATAAATTTACCCAGGAGTGAATGACTGGTGGTCCGAAAACTATAAACACTGCTGGGAGAAATTATAGCAGGCCTAATAAAGGGAAAAAACATCCTGTGTTCACGGATTGGAAGACTTAGTATTAAGATCATAACACTACCCGAAGCAATCTATAGATTCAATGCAATCCCTATCAAAATCCCAAGGACATTTTCTGCAGGAATGGAAAAACCCACCCTATAATGCAAATAGAATCTCAAGGGACTCCGAATAGCTAAACAATCCTATAAAAGAAGGACAAACACAAGCTGGTTTCAAAACCAGAAACAGTAATCAAAACAGTGAGGAACTGGCATCAAGACAGACACAGAGAAGAATGGGACAGAACTGTGGACCCGATACAAGTCCTCGCATAAACTGCTAGATGGTTTTCAACAAGGGTGCCAAGGCCATTCGACAGGGAAAGGAGAGTCTTTTCAACAGCTGGTGCTGGGAAAACTGGACATCCATGTGCAAAAGAATGAAGTTGGACCCTTCCACCACACCACATACACAAATTAACTCAAAAATGGATCAAAGTCCTAAACTTAAGAGCTAAAACAATGAAACTCAGGAAAAATCTTGTGTTTGATGATGGTTTCTTAAATATGACACCAGAAACACAGGCACCAAAAAGATTAAAAAGACAAGTTGGATTTGAAGATACAAAGGACCTGTCTGCATTGTCTTTACAACTATTTTTACTTCCTGTAAATCTGTCATCACTTCACAATAAAATGCTATATCACTGCCCGGAGAGCTTCGGCCAAGGCATAGGGAGGGGAGCGCAGGTGGAGCCAGTGAAGTCCCCGAGTTTCGGGATGGACTCAAGTGTCAGGACAACAAGCACCAGAGTGCCAGAGAGCAAGGGTGGCCCCACAAGTGTCCAGCAGAGGACCGCGCAGCACACACACACACACACACACACACACACACACGAGGAAATGCCCATGGGCAAGGACAGGGCACTAGGAGGGGGCACAGCTTGCCCCAGCTCACGGGTGCTCACCAGGCACAGCACTCGTGCCTTGTCACAGGACAGGGGGCAGTTCTCCTGAGCGAGCACTGAACACACCATAAAGGCACTGCCTGAAAGGAACAAACTGTCTGCAAGGGACTCAGCTGCATCCCGGAGTGAAATTCAAGATCTATGGGACACCCAAGTACCCAGCACCCAATGAGGCAAAGCCCACAGGCGGGCACCCAGCAAAGGCCACCAGCACGCAAAGGCCGAATCCATCCCTCGGTGAGGAGTAATCCGTCAGGTGTGGCTGACCCAGCACCGAGGCAAGAGCAGAGTTAGCAGAGAGGAATTAAACAATCACAGCAGGTTGTCTGGACGTGAAAACTTCAGTGTCCGAGGGGAGGAAGGCCTGGACTGGCAGACCAGACACTGCACAGAAAAGATCAGTGAGGCTGTGACACAGCAGTGGGACCACCTAAGACAAAAACGCATAGAAAATTCTTTAAAAAAGGAATGGCTTCTGTAAGCTGTGGAACAACATCAGCAGTTGAAGATTCAGGTAATTAAAATTGCTGAACAGGAGTAGGAAGAGGGGACAGAAAAAATATTGGTAAGGTAACGACTGAACAATTTTCAAACTTGACAAAAACCCACACATCCAAGACGCTTAAGACCCCTGTGCAGAAGAAGCCACTACACCAAGGCACACTGTAACAAAAAATTTCAGAAGCAGCCAGAATAGGGAGACATGTTGTGTACAGGGGAACAAAGACAACCACCAAATCAGGTTTCTCGAGAGAAAAGGAAATATCTGCTTATCCCAAGACATGCACACCAGACTGTCCAGACATCAGCTTTTTTTTGCAATAGCCCCAAACCGGAAACAATCCAAACGTCCATCAACAGGTGAACGGATAACTGGACTGTGGTCCAGCCACACTGTGACTACTCGGAATAAAAAGGAATGAACTGCTGGTACATGTGCCAACGTGGAGGAATCCTGGAACTGCTAGTGCCGCGAAAGAAGCCACATGAAACAGCACATACTGCGTGACTCCACTGACACTGGGAGGTGGCCTGTTGGGGACCTTTGCCTTCTCAGGGGATGGGATGAGGAGAAGACCCCCCAGGAAGCCATCCTTGACTACAACCATCAGTCACTGGGTGAGAGTAGGAAGGTGTGGACAGGAGACAGAGCAGCCCCGAGGGCAGGAGACAGAAAACATCTGTAAAGAGCCACACACGCCCCGGCCGGGGGGCTGGGCTGGGAAGGGAAGGTGGTCCTGGGGTTGGAGACACCCAGGTCAGCCCCACGCACATCAGTCCCCAAAGAGAAAAGGCTGGAGCCACGGGGACAAAGCTCGGGTTTGCCGACAGGCTGAACAATGTCACTAGAGTCACAGAACAGACTAAGCCACAGGCACCAGGACAAGAGGTGGAGAGAAAACCGCGCAGGTGGAGTCACAGTGAAAGTGTAAGGGCTAACTTACCTTTAAGCGAATCACTAGAAATCCTTCAGGATAAAGACCTATTAGCCCCCAAACAGTAACCACAAATGTGCTTGTAATTCTGACCTGAAATACCAACCAACCAACCTAGCACCCAACTCAGAATGAAATCGTGGGAGTGGTCTGCACAGTGGCTTTGTTGGGGCATCACTGGCTGTTGGGGCACTGTGGGGGGGGCAGGGGTCCCATTCTGTTTACACGGGACCCCTTCTGCTTTCTAAATGCACCTCTTAGGGAATGTAATGTGACACTCCCTGCCAGGCGCTCCTGACACAGGACAGTGGCCTGCCAGGAGTCCCCCACCCCGCTGCCGTCTTACCACCGCGTTGCGCTCCACTCTGGATCGGATCTGGTCGACTTTGCCTTCTATCACTCTGGGAAATATCGAGGAATCTGCTCCTTTGCAAAACAGATAAATTTCTCCTACAAAATGAGGAAAAGATTGCTTAATCACAACATGGGGAAGACTAAATTATTTTTCAAGTTATTCTATTATTAAAAAACAAAAAACAGGGACACCAGCACTGAAACCATTTTAAAGGAGATTTTAACGGACCAGTTAACATGTTAAAGTCAGGAAAAAATTAAATCTCCAGATTATCGCACAGCCTCATGCTATTCCTACAACCCTAGAAATCTCAGAGGAAAGCTGGGAACTGGGAGGAGTCCTGCCTCCCATCTCTTTGGCCTTCTCTCTGGCAAAGATTCGAACGAGGAAGAAAAGGTGCTTGGGACCGGGGCTGGGGTGTTGGGGGCTGGTGGTGCGTCGTAGGACAAAGGGCCTGTGGCTGACCCAAGGGGGTAACGATTTGCCAAAATCTGGAAGGTGGACGTGAAATGCCCTCTAGAAAGCGACATGTCCTGGTGCAGATGGAGATGTCGAGTCCTCTGTGGCATTAACAAGAGTCCTGGGGACAGCATTGGTGTAATTTTTCCCTCATGTTTCCGGTAACATCCGACCACTGGGAACACAGCTGTGCTGCAAATGCACGCTTCTCGTCCTCCAGGATAAGGTGCATCTCTTCCAGCTAAGTCAGGGGAGACACTCCAGCAGAAGGCAAAGCAGCAGCTTAAGAACACGAAGACACTAGCTCTGAGGCCACGCGCTCTGACACACAGGTGAGCACCCTTGGCCATGTGCATGCACCGGGACAGCCCAGCTCGTCTGCGTGGGGCTCAAGGAAGTGGCACCGCACTCCCTGCACCACGGTGGTGGCAGTTGGAGAAGGAAGCTCCAATGCCCAGCTCCCTGACCGGATGGATCCCCCCCACACTGAGGGCCCTCCGGAATTGTATTGGGCCAGGAACAGACAGGCAGTGTTGGGCACAGCCAGCTCCTTAGGCTGGGGTGTGAAGGGCACACACTGCTGGACTATGCCCATGGACTCGGGTGTGTCTCTGCAGCCCACCTGCCCTATCTCCTAGTCCCCAGGATGTACTAACTCCTGAGATATACAAACTGGACATGTCTGTAACATAGACATGACTCCCATATGCAGACACCCAGAACCAAGGTCAATGCCAAGCCATGGCCAGAAAGGACAGCACCTCATGGCACTGGTCCTGCAGGTCCACGGAGCCGAGCCGCTGGCTGGGCACAGGCCAGCAGAGAACTGGGCGTGGGAACAAGCCACGCTGAGCAGGAGTCACCTGAAGCTGGAGCAGCTGCCCCAGGAGACAGCTCCAGAAAACCAGTCTGTGACCAAGACTCTCAGCCACTTGCGGAAGAGTGGAGACTGGGGCCATCCCGACCAGCCTGATTCAGAGCCCGTTGCTGGCACCCCCGGGATTCCCAGCCAACACTCGCGTGTTCTCAGATGCAGCGTAGAGAGAGAACTGTAGTCCAGGTGGTGTCATGATGCACTCCTGAAGAGTGACATTCTTTTCCTAGAAAAATCATGTTCTATGGCTCCCGACACACGTCAGCGGTGTGTGTGTGTGAACGCCTTGACTTTCCCACGTCTCACCTTGCCGACTCCTCTGCACCTAGCGCAGGACATGCACACCTGCAGCCTCAGGACTCGCTCAGAGGGAGCCTTTGACGTAGAAATATCCAAGGATATGGCAGAACGCAGTCTGCAAAGAACGAGAGCAGACAGCGCTTGGCACCGGCGTTAAACCTGCTTTTCCAGTTTGTGAATCAGCGTAGAGACCTCCAGCAGCGCACAGCAGGGGCGTGATCAAGCACAGAGATCTGCCCCATGGACAGATGGCTGGGTGCTGGCGCTGTGCAGCTGTGGCTGGCCGTCCACGCCAGGACCAGGAAGCGCTCTCATGACACCGGGAGAAGAGTCAGTGATATAAAATGACATGGAAAGCCATGCACAACACAAGGTGTCCCAGAAATGGCCGTGTCCCGGTGGAAAAACAGGGATCACTCAAGCGGCTCCAAAAAAGCATAAAGTTACCACTTTCCTTTTTCCCTTCCTGAGTCAGGTATCACACATATTGATTACATCTCGCCCTGGGTGGGGTGAATATCAGCAAAGCGTGTCCCCGAAAAGTCAGATCCCGTGTCTCTCTTTACACAGGAGCACCCGAGGCAGACAGGGACAGGTCTTCCTGGAGTGGGGAGAGGCACCGTTGGGTGACCAGCTTCTCGCTGTTCAGGGCCGAGACCCGGCTCTGACGGCTGTGTCCCACCCTCCAGGGACGAGCCCCAGGAAGAAACGCAAGCTGTTGGCTGGCTGCAGTGGCTCCCGGCCCGTCTCCCCACCCAACAGGTGGTAAAATCAGCGCAATGAGAGTCCCTCTCCGGGAGGTACTAGGTCCACTTGGAGAACAACTTGCTTAATTAAATGTTCAAACTTCTCTTAAACTCACTGACGCGGTGGCTGGTTTCAGATGGCGTGGTAGTCCCCTCTCATAAGCATGCAGCGCCTCCGAGGGGCCCTAGGAAACTTGCAGACGTGCCCTTGGACGGGACGTGCTGACGGCGTGGTCCTCGGACCTACATTCTTATGTGATCCGGCTCCTCGTCTAGCTCCTCGAGGGTAACGGAGGTTATTTGTGGAGACTCCAGGTGCAGCCACAACATCAACACTGTGGTCTTCGTGGTTCAGATGCAGCCAAAGGCCATCCGTGAGGCACGGTGGGAGGTGGCTCAGTGGATGACAGACACGTTGCTTCCAAGGACTGTGGTCCTCACTGTGGGGCCATGGGCAGGGTCTTCACACACACCTCGGGTGTTCATGGGAAAAGTCACAAGACGACAAAGTGGACGAGGCATCTGGTGCCCCCTGATGCCTTTATCGGGGATGATCCTGAGTGGCTACACTCTCAGCACAGCCTCTCCCCAGTGCCAGGTACTGCGCCCTGCACTTGGGCAGGGCTTGTGACATCTGAACTTGTCCTCAGACACTGCCCCCCAATCCCACTGTCTGAGGGCGGCCCTCTTTTTCCATGTGTCGTGGGCCACACTCACGTGTGTCGTCTTATGTCCTATGACCTGCTCTTGTCCACAATGCCACTGCCTAGAGGTGATCCCGTTGGACTCAGGGGAACCGTGTGTGTAAGGAACCAGCTTGAGAGACAGGGCACTCACGGAGCAGCCATGGGCCCAGGTCAGGCTGCTTCTCTAGCACACGGAGCACAGATCCTCAAACAGCAGCTCACAGGATGTCACTCACAGGTAAGCCGTCTCACAGGGGTGCACCACAGGTAAGATGTGTCACAGGTGTATCCTCACAGGTAAGATGTGTCACCGGCGTACACCACAGGTAAGCCGTCTCACAGGGGTGCACCACAGGTAAGATGTGTCACAGGTGTATCCTCACAGGTAAGATGTGTCACCGGTGTACACCACAGGTAAGCCGTCTCACAGGGGTGCACCACAGGTAAGATGTGTCACAGGTGTATCCTCACAGGTAAGATGTGTCACCGGTGTACACCACAGGTAAGCCGTCTCACAGGGGTGCACCACAGGTAAGATGTGTCACAGGTGTATCCTCACAGGTAAGATGTGTCACCGGTGTACATCACAGGTAAGCCGTCTCACAGGGGTGCACCACAGGTAAGATGTGTCACAGGTGTATCCTCACAGGTAAGATGTGTCACCGGCGTACACCACAGGTAAGCCGTCTCACAGGGGTGCACCACAGGTAAGATGTGTCACAGGTGTATCCTCACAGGTAAGATGTGTCACCGGTGTACACCACAGGTAAGCCGTCTAACAGGTGCATCCTCACAGGTAAGCCGTCTCACAGGTGTACACCACAGGTAAGCCGTCTCACAGGTGTATCCTCATAGGTAAGCCATCTCAAAGGTGCATCCCCACAGGTAAGCCATCTCACAGGTGTATCCTCACAGGTAAGCCGTCTCACAGGTGCATCCTCACAGGTAAGCCATCTCACAAGGTGTATCCTCACAGGTAAGCCGTCTCACAGGTGTATCCTCACAGGTAAGCCATCTCACAGGTAAGTCACCTCACAGGTGCATCCTCACAAGTACNCAAAGGTGCATCCCCACAGGTAAGCCATCTCACAGGTGTATCCTCACAGGTAAGCCGTCTCAGGTGTACACCACAGGTAAGCCGTCTCACAGGTGTATCCTCACAGGTAAGCCATCTCACAGGTAAGTCACCTCACAGGTGCATCCTCACAAGTATGCCGTCTCACAGGTATATCCTCACAGGTAGGCTGTTGGCACCCTCATGGTCTTAGAAGAGACGAGGTACTGCTGGTCCCGATCAGAAGGTCAGAGCAGCTGGTGAAGAGCCTCCCCTTGTTTACTCCACGTTGAACTGGAGTGTGTCTGGTTCCAGGCAGTGGCTGCATTTGGCTGACTGCAAGGTGTCTTACCAAAGAGACAAATGTAGCCTGGTACTGTCTAGTTTAGGACAGCAGAGAATAAGATGCCACTGCTAAAGCACGTGTAGTTACTGCAGGTAACGGTGTTCACTGAGTTCCGGGCAGCAGGCCGCGACGAGCGCAGCACTGAGAAATGCGTCGGTTCTGGGCTCAGGACGCTCACAGTCCAGCAGGGGCTGGAGACGAGCGATGACCCCAACACAGGGCGATGCCGGCGCGTAACCACGAAGCTGAGGACAGGGAAAGGCTGCCCAGCCAGGCGCTGTCGAGCTATCCTCAGAAAGGCCCAATGGGCGGGAGGGCTTTCCATGTGGACAAGACCACGCCAGGCAGGAGGACAGCCTGGGAGCCTGTGGGGGACGATAGCAATCTACTCTGTGACGCTGGGGACAAAAGCTGGGCAGGCAGGTGAGGAGCTGCTTCCTGACATGGTGAACCCCAAGTGAGAAGACGCTGTGGGGGCTGTGAGCACCTGGGTGCTCAGAAGACCAGGTGGCAGCAGGTGACTGGAGGGCAGAGAGAGGCAGGTGGGAGCCCTGGGAAGCAGTGGTGGTTGTGGGATAACTCCAAGCAGAAGTGGGTGGGGGACCATTGGAGACAGGACCTGCAGGCCATAGGTGACAGAGCCTTTGAGCCCTGGGTGCTGGGGGAGAAACAGAAGCCCCAAGTGGGCTATGGGTTTCAGAACCTGGGGCTCACGTGGGTGCTGGGTGGGACCACAGGGCAGGACGTCACTGCAGAGGTGGGCACTAAGTGGCGGGAGTCCCCTCAGGGAGAGGCTGAGGAAGGCTTGGTGGCACCTGCCTGGACAGGAGAGGGGCCGTGGCCATGAGGGAGCCCTCAGGACACAGACGGCCACAGGGCGAGTGAGGGGACCAGAGCCAGAAACCGTGATACACAAGGTGTGCACACAGAGGTGAGCAGGAACTCGCTGGTGTCAAAGGCAATGACCGTGCATGCCACACTGTTTACATTCTGAGGATCCTAAGCACAAACTAGAGTGCGATGTCCTCAAACAGAGACACATTGCCACGGCAACCAGCCAATGCACCCACTCACCTTACTTAGTATTTTGAACGTTGTTGTAGACATATTTGCAAACCCACGTTATCTTTTCCTAAAAAACGTTTATTTAAAAATACGATCTATGTTATTTGGATACACATAGAGAAAAGCAGTGGGGACTAGATGTATAATTTTCAATATTAAAATGATCCCAACTCGACTTCACGAGGAGGCACAAAGCGAGGGTGTTGTTTACCTGGCCCAGGACTTGTTCCTAAGCATTTAGAGAAAGGTCTACTTTTTTGTAATAAAAAAATTATTATTATGGAAGAATTTATCTATACTTCAAAAATAAAATCCTCAATCCTTAAAGCTCCTGAAGAATTCAGCCATCGGAATAGAAACACAATCACCGCGTATAAATAAAGAAATCGAGGAAAAAGGAAACTTCTACCTGTAGCAGATTTTACGATCACACTCATTCTCCTTCTTACTGAGTCAAAACTCAAGATTTCCAGCAATTCAAACCTAAAAGGAAACGTGAACAGCGTTAATGCCCACCTGGGTCTCCACACTATGAATTCTGGAACCGCCGGCCTTGCCGCAGCG